AAAGACCAATTTGAGCGCGCTCGAAGCCTTTGCTTCCAAGTTGCACGTCACTCTTCCTTCATTAACACAAGCGATCTTTGGTCTTGCAATGGCAAAATTGCTTTCAATTAATGATTTCGTGTTTGGTCTTGTGCTTTCCGGACGTACAGTCCCTATTCCTCACATTGAGAAGCTTCTTGCTCCGACTATTACGACTGTACCGCAACGAATTGATCTCCGCAAGAGCGATGCCACAATTCTAGATATCTTGACCGCGCTCCAGAAATCTTCAGGTAAAATGCTGCAGTTCCAACATAGCTCTCCGAGATCGATTCACAAGTGGGTGGAAGCCGATCGTCCGCTCTTCAACTGTCTCTTTTCATTCATGAAAACGGGAGAGGAAGAATCGGATAATGGATTGTGGAAATTACTCGATAGTTACATGCCTCCTGATTATCCCTTCGCGGTTGAATTCGAAGCCAGACATCCATCAAATGATCTCGTTATCCGCGCGGGATACACCCCCGAATTTGGCTCTGCGTCTAAAGTTAACAATCTCCTCGAAATGATCGAGTTACTCATCGACACCATTTCCAAAAACGACAATATCTCAATCAAAAGTCTCGGCATCCAATCCAACCACAGCATCTCATCATCCTCCGAAATCCTCGACGACGGCGAAGAATTGCCCGAAGAGCAAATTATCAAGACCGTCCTACTTGGCCTCGGTGATTTTGCATCCGAAGACGTATCTCGCACCAGTACGTTTTTCCGTCTCGGCATCGACTCCGTCATCGCGATTCGTTTCGCCAAAGAACTCCGCAGCATCGGCCTCCAAGTTTCATCTTCGGATATCGGGAGATACCCCAGTATCGCAGCTCTAGCGCGCGCTGTTTCGAGCAAGAGCAAGACCCCATCGACTGCTACATCCGCCGTGGTGAAAACGACGAATTTGTTGGATCAACATAAAGCGAGTATTCCTCTGTTGGCGGAAGATGATAAAATTACGGATATCTACGCTTCTACACCTCTGCAAACGGGTATCTTGACCCAAACCATTGCGACGGGTGGAAAACTCTATCTGCATCATCCTGCCGTCAAGCTATCCTCAAATATCGACATCCCGCGTCTGAAGAAAGCGTGGACATCGGTAATCGAAGCGTATGATATTCTACGCACTACATTCCACTATTTCGAAGGAGCGGCCCATCCATGGTTAGCCGCTGTGCACGAGAAACCCATCATTCAATGGACAGAAGAACAAGCATCTGGATGGATTGACAAAAGTATTGAAAAGATTATCGAAACGACTAGTTTCCCCACTCCCGAGTCTTTCTCCCAGACTCCTCTCAAGATCACAATTCTCAACTCTGCATTTATGAAAGTCCTCGTTGTGTCTATTCACCATAGTCTCTATGATGGGTTTTCCCTCCCTCTTATTTTTGATTCCTTGTCAACGGCTTACTCGCATGGTGTTTCGAAACCCATAACACCCTTTTCTGAAGCCGCAAGACTTATTACCGAGCGCCAAGGAAAGAGCGTCGAGTTCTGGTTAAATAGGTTAGATAATTACCAAAGTATCTCTCTACCATCTTCCACGGTCCCTGCAGAAACTACCTCCCTGGCGCAAACGACCATCCAAATGCCCGTTTCGGAAATCCTTCACCGCTGCCAAGAAATGAATATTAATCTGCAATCCGCCGCTCTCCTCGCATACGCCAAAACTCTCTTTTGTTTTGTCAAGCGTCGTGACATTGTCTTCGGACATGTCGTTTCGGGTCGTTCACTACCTCTTCCAGAGGTAGAACAAATTCTCGGTCCGCTATTCAACACTGTGCCTTTCCGTATTTCGCTGGATAATCCGGTCCTTGGAAATCAGGACTACGTGAGTCAAATCCAAGATGTGGTTGTTCAAGGACAGGAAAATCAACATGCTTCTCTACCTACGATCCAGAAGTTTTGGAGACAGAAAAATATTTTCACAGATGGGGCGTTGCTGGATGCACTGTTTGTGTTCCAGAAAGTGGGAAAGACAGATGGGCAGAAAGAAAAACTCTGGAGCGTGATGGAGGGAGGCGAGAGTCGCGATGCGACGGAGTATGGGTTAAATGTTGAGATTGAGCAAGGAGAGGATGAGGTGATTGTCAGTGCTGGATCTCCTGCTGGACGCATCAATACTGAAGATCTGAATTTGATTTGCAAAACTTTCGATGAAGCTTTGAGAGATATTCTTGAGAATCCTCAAAGAAGTGTTGTTGCTTATCCGGAGCAGTTGCAAGATTTACCACTTGAGAGTACACCCAAGAGCAAGATTGAAAATGTGGAGGATCATAGTGATATGGTGGATGCGCCGATGCTCGAGGTTGTTCGCGCAGCTCTTGCGGAGGTCGCTGATTTACCTACGGATTCCGTGACGTTGCAGACGAGCATCTTTTCCTTGGGCGTTGATTCCATTGCTGCAATCCGTGTCGCATCTATCTGTCGCAGACGCGATGTACCGATTAGCGTTGCCGATATCCTACAAGGAAATTCTCTGGGTGGTATAATCCGGATCCTCGTCGCAAAATCGAAAACCAATAGTCAACAGCAAGATGCGACGACAGAACTTCTGTCCCCTGAATCCAAAGCAAGTGCACTTTCACTGCTCAAATACCCCAAAGATACCGTGCAGGAAGTTTTACCGGCGATGGCAGGCCAAGAATACCATTTGGCGAGTTGGCTTAAGTGCGGAAGAACTTTCTACGAACCCACTTGGGCTTTCCAAGCTCGCGAGAAGATCGATACAGTTCGTTTGAGAAATGTGTGGAGGGATCTTCAATTACGACACCCGATATTAAGAACGGTGTTTACTGCTCCCACACCTGAATCTGCGTATCAGATCGTACTCAAACCAGAGGTCATCACCGATGGAACTTTCACCGTTACTCCAGCTCAATCAGCAGATGAAGATTTAGTCTCAGCCGTCCAACGTCAAGTCCACCACTGGGCTCAACGACCATCTACACTTTTCACTCCCCCCATCAGTCTCTGTGTAGTCCAGACCGCAAAAGCAGATGCCGTATTATTCAGAATCCATCATTCTCTTTACGACGCGTGGAGCATGATCGCTCTCGTCAAAGAAGTCTGTACTCTCTACACCCAACCACCCTCATCCATCTTACCCCCACACCCGACTTCATCTCCTTTGTCAAATACACGCATTCCTCACTCTCCTCCCCCTCCGCGCTCTCCGCTCAAAAATCCTACTGGAAATCCTCACTCCACTCCGCCCAACCCACCATCCTCGTCCCCACCACCTCAAACTCACAAAATCCACAAACCGAACAAGACCAAGACCAAAACACAACCCAAACCTTCCTCTGGCTCAAAAACTCCATCCCCCACCTCCGCACTCTCCAACTCCTCGCCCGCACCCACAACACCAGCATCAACACCATCCTCATGTTAGCATTTGCACGCGCCCTCGCCCATCTCACGCACACCACCCACCCCACCTTTGGATTCTTCCAAGTCGGCCGCGCGAGTTCGTTCGACGGCGCAGAAACAGTGCTCGCTCCAACCGTCAATCTACTCCCTGTTTCCATCGCTATTTCCGGACGTGCGGAGAAAGACATACTGCTGGATATTCAGAGGGATATGAGTCAGCGGGTTGCGTGGGAACAGAGTCATCTGAGGGATGTGGTGGGTTGGGCAATGGACGATTCGCCATCGGAATCGCAGCCATTATTCAACGCAAGTCTCAATCTGTTATTCCACACCCCTGGCAAACCTTCTCCTTCTCCATCTCCTTCTGCTACAGCGGAAGAAAAGGAATCCCCTGAGCTCCTCGCCCCCCTCTCCATCGGTGTCCCCACAGATTTCGCACCGAAGAGAAAGATCGAGGGGGAAACAGCTGTACAGAGAATCGATACGACGTATTTGGCCAAGAGAAATTTGTTTGTGGATGTGGGGGAGGGAGAAAATGATTGTATCGATTTTGGAGTCAAAGCCGATACGGTTCTTATGGGCGAAATCGAAATCGAAAGATTCGTAAATGAAATCGCAAAGGAGGTGGAGGGGATTCGGAGAACGTTGACGAGTTTGGAGGAATGATTTGGTTTGTGTGCTGCGATGGGTGTGTGTGGATTATATATATATAGTTAGAGTTAGAGTTGTGTATCGTTTTCCAGGTTTCAAGTTTGTTTGTAAGAATTGTAGTTAGGAATTTTATTCGTGTAGATTAGTTATTAGATATCAAATTTCAGTTGACTTATCAATTAATTCCTTTATTATCCAAGAAATTCCATAACACAGCTAACTTATTTACAACTTATCAAATCCCCTCTAAATATAAACCCACAACCAATTCCCAAATCCAATAATATCACATGTATAAATAACTACTATAGATTGTATTGACTCCAGATAATCTACCTACAGGTATCTATCTACTTATGTATAATCACAACTCACTTCACCTTAATATGATATGATATGATACGATACGACATGACACATCCAGGAACCGACAAAGAAAACAACATGAACAACTATAACGCAGAGACGAAAAGTAGGCATTGTCGGCTTCGTTATACCTCCTGCTTGATTACCCTACCCATCGATACATACCCAAGAGTCATGATCAAGTTAGCAACTTGACAATCTACAATAAATCAATTTTTCATACAGCCAAATACAATAGATCACACCACATCATATTTCCAAACAGTATATCAAACAATCCAAGATTAAATTAATTACCAAAGAACAAAAGAGATTCATTAAAATAAGTAGCTAACTACTCGGGTATCATAATCGTATCCCAATAATCTGAAATTAGGTAGGTATCCATCATCGCATAACCGTTAGAAAATCCAGCAAATCATTATCCGTTGCATCCATATGCATATTATATCCAGTACATATCCAACCAGGTATCATCCCATCCTATCCGGTCTTTCCCACCCCCATCCCATACCCATATCATCATAAGCATTAATCATTAATAAAACAAGATAAAAGAAAGTATTCCCTCTCATGCCTCACCATCTCCCTCCCCTTCCCCCTTCTCCATCATCCCAAATGATTCTTTCATCCCCTCTCCTTCGTCCACTTCCCCCACCAATAGTAGTCCTCCTCTTTGGCATATACCCCTCTTCAGGTCCCTTCTGCCTTTCTTTCAATCTATCCAAAACCTCTCTGTCCCCATCGCCCCTCCCTGAAAAACTTGCCCCCCTCCCTAACCCCGATGCATGTCCATCATCCCTTGCCTGCCTCTCCCTCAACCTTGCATACATATCATCATCCTCTTTTTTCCATCTCGCTGCATCTGCTCTCCTATCGATTTCCCTCTCCATCTCTTTTTCCCTACCAGGCACAGAGGGTCTTCTCCTGATCTCCTCATCTTCCTTCGCAAATGCCTTGACTTGTTCTGCCAACCTCCTCGCATCATCTGCTGCTTTCCTTTCCGACTTCTCCGCCTTCCTCATTCTTTCTTCTCTCTCTTTATCATCTAATGCCTTCTCTCTTTCTCTCTCGCGTCTATGTTGATCTTCTCTTCTCTCTCGCTCATGCTCATCTGCTCTACGAAGCTCATCATCCCTTCTTCTTCTTTCCCTCTCTCTTGCTGACTCTTCTTCCCTTTTACGATCGGAAGATCGAGCTCTTTCTCTTTCTCGAAGAAGTTCTTCTTCCATATCTCTAGCTCTCTTTCGTTCAATGTCGTTGTTCCTTTCTTTTTCTCGCTCGAGTTCTCGATCCCTCAAGAATTTCTGATACTCGGCCTCCCTGCTCCTCTCATCCTCAATCTTCGCCTTTCTCACTCTCTCCCTCTCAAGTTCCCTCCTTGCTTCATGAACTAACTCAAAGCTCTTCGCTTGTTCTCTCTCATATTCTCTTTGTCTCTCTCTTTCTCTCTCTTCTTGCTCACGAAGAATACGCATATCTACCAATGCCTTCTCACGACTAGGTGAACGCGAGGGAGGTTCAGGAGCTAGAATGATTGGAAGTTCTTTCAAAGGTCTCTCTCTTTCCTTGCTATGATCTCGATGATGTTCTACAATAACCGTACGAACAGGATTGAGACTGCCATTAGGACTACGTCTTGGAGTTGAGCGATCATCTACTAAGAGGTTCTTTGAGTAGAATTCTTCCGTGGCGGGTGAGTCTGGAGCATATTTTGAAAGAGTCTTGGAACCCTCTGGACTATCTGGTGCATTGACAATGACGATGCGTTCTTTAGGATGCTTGCGACGTGGTGTGAGAGCCGAAACTAAAGCACTATTCTTCCTTACAAGACGAAGACGAGGTTCTCGACCTGGAGACCTGTCTTTCTTGTCACCTGGAGAGTAACGATATGTACTTGTTGTTGTAGATTGGTGAGGTGAAGGCCTGGGGGTAAGAGGTACTTTGAGTCCTTGGTCGAGGTATTCTTTGCTAGAAAGGTCATCGTTGGATTCGAGAGTGCGAGGAGGATGTTCGTTGGTGATATGAGCAGCACAAGAGATTCCATCTTTTGCATTAGGGCAAACTATTGTTTGATGAAACTCGACTGTTCGCTTGGGGTAGCAATCGGTATAGATATGTGTCACGCACATTGTGACAGTGAACTTTGAGATTTCGGCTCGGGTGTGCTGAGGTAGGACTTGTCCTCCAAGACCTGAATTCGACTTGTGCTATCGAGTTGATATCAAAACGATGAGAAATTTCCCACTGGGTCTAAGACTTCTTTGAGTTGAAGAGTAAGATGTCTTCGCTCGAGGTGATAGGTATGTATGGGTGTATGTGTGTGTATATGAAAGTTGCTTCGTATTATATTATATGACTGAGGAGAAGAGTAGGTATATAGAGAGATGTGTGGTGCAAGATACAATAAGTATGATTGTATAAAGGTTGAGTGGAGTATATCAAAGCGACAGGAATGTGAAGGATGTTGTATTAGGTTAAACACAAGCAGTGATATGTTTAACAAAAGAGAGAATGTGGAGAGAAACGTGCGGATAGGATGGAGGGTATAGAGGAATTAAGTATTCTCTCTTGACACTTGAGTAGATTTGACTGTACCAGGAGTGTGACTGCCTAATAAAATGGTCTTATAGTATCCTTTAGGTCAATACTTGTGGCCGGTGACTGTGCATTTAGCGTGGGTTGGTTCCAAACTTTTATTTCAGTAGAAAAGGTGTGGGTGGGTGGGTATTGAATATAAAAGAAATAAAATAAAGTCAACCAACTTCGCATTACACTTTTTCGCTATTTTGAAATAAGGTTCTGTAATCTGCAAGTATTATTCGATAGTCGAAAGTATCACCGGGGAATGGGAATTTAGGAGCTAGCCTTTTTTTCCAACGACTTTGGTGTAATATAAAGATGTGGAGTTTATGTATGGTGTGAATAGTAGGAAAGGTAGGGTTGTGAAGAAAATGTTATAAAAAAAATTGAGAAAATGTCAAGAAAGTTTCCTTTCTCAGCAAGAAAGCGGCGAATGAAAAAGGCGCCTCAGCCACTTAAAGGGCTGAGTAAGACCCAAATGGAACCCAGATGGTCAACCAACTTCCAAAGTAGTACCAAGTCAGGAATCGAGGCTTGAAATGAAACCATGAAAGTTTATAATGATGGATGACGGAAAAGATCAAAATGCAGGAGTAAAAAGACAAAAATGTTGCATGTAGTATGTTGTCAGCTTGGTTTGTGATGAATGTCATGACATCCAAATGATTGGAATGTGACAGTTGCTATGATGAACATGTAAAAGTGTACTCGAGTAAATCACGGAATCATATGAAAGGAGAGGTAAGAGGGTAAAAGACAAGAAAAGTACGAATATCCGAAAATAGAATCCCGATCAAATGGAAACGAATCCCATGGAGAAGAAGGTCAAGAGTAAGCCGAGTCTCAAGGTCCTCGAGGTCGTATCTGTCGTAAACGTGTAAATTGTCGCGGGACGGCCCTCAAATCTACAGACCACAAACGCGCGTGTTGAAAGTAGGTTAGAGGAGCTCTTATTCCATCCTATGAGAATGAATTCCAAAGAGGAGAAGGCGTTTCATAAAAGAAAGACCTCTCTTCAGACCGCAAAGAAGATTTGAAGATGGACCACTTCTCGATGTGTGGAATCCAATGAAGGGATGATAGATGTAATGAGATGAAAAAGAAACAGCTGGAGTTGATGTTCACGAAGAGGTCGGATGGCCAATTGTTTCTCCCAGACCCCTGTTATCTCCTGAATTGGGTAAGGTGATTGCTTAATTTGGCAGCAATTTTTATGGAGAGATTTCACTAGGCCGCTGTTCAAGGTCACGCTTACAATTCATTGAGGAATATCCTTATTTATTTATTAAAGAGCCTCGAGAGACCTACCCAACCTTGGATGTGTTATCGATTAAAGGATATAAAAAATAAACACATGGAGCCACAACATTCCCCCCGATGTTTGTATAACGTTTCACGATCGAGATGGGTCTGCTCTGCACGTTAAATTGGTATACATACATACATACACACATACTCGTTCTACTGTTTCTGTAAGCGCTGTGAAGCTAACGACAGGATCCATCTACTTTATACAACCTTCTACCACAAATCCACCAGACAGCTCCCCTGCCTATCTGTCGACACAACTCATCTTCATGGTAACTTGGAAAGTATTCAAATGATGGCTCCCACCGCAAGGCCATCCGATCAGTCCCCGATGATGCATGTTATACAGACTATCAATCTAGCACTAACACATCGAGCATGTATGTGCATTGACTCTCAAGTCATCTGATCAAATGATTTCCTTGGGAATCAAACAGTCGTCATGAGAAGTCTCGGTGGGCCTCTATCTGAATGTGTGAAAGTTATAGAGAGAGAGATACAGTAGTAGTAGATTGTCAATCAATTCAGTCTGCTAGACATCCGTGGCCAATACTATGCTACGCCAGTCATATACATACCTACCTGCCATACCTTTCAATCTCCCTACCCCCTCAGATACTCACTATTTCAAGAAACTCACCATATCCCCAGCTATCCTCCCAGCAAACAAAACCATCTAAAATATCACTGCTATAACATAATCAATAAATCAATAATCACCTAGGTACCTACCGTATATCCATCACATGCACACACACACACACACAGCCACATCCACAGCCACAGCCACATTTCATCATCGCATTCCCATCTATCCATCCATCCATCTACCCTCACTTACTTGCCTACCTACTTCCCACCTCCAAATGACGAAATTATACATTCATCTATTCATTCATCTATTCATCCATCCATCTACACATACCCAGTACACACATACCCAGTACACACATACCCAACAGTTCTCAACCCAATCTCACACCCCATGCTACGACCAGATATGATACACCATATATTACCATTACCATTACCATTACCATTACCATCACCACTGTCATTGTCATTACACCAAATAAGACAAAACAAAACAAAATAAATACAAGTCGATCTACGTATTCATTCATTCATTCATTCATTCATTCATTCATTACCTACTTAAATGGGTGGGTAAGATCTTACAAGGACACATACACACCTTTCATATAGAGACATACATCTATACTACAATCCCATTTATGCACAGTAATAACAATAACAATAATAATAATAACAATAAATCAATAAATATCCAATAATCCAATAATCCAATAAATACCCAATAAATATCCCCTCATCATCATCATAACCAAAATCATAATCATAATCAACAACTTAGCGCTCCCCATCCATCACGCACATCCTCCTTTAGGATCCGAGAAACCTACTAGGTACGTGACTGAACTAAGCCTTACAATGTTATATGATACCATCTCAACTATGCTATGTGGGCGTATCAGATAAATTACAAATTGCCAACTATACCTACAGTCAAAAATCACAATTAAAATCAAATCTCAAATCTCAAAATCGAATATTCCTCTCTAGTTCCCTCTCACCAAAAAATCCAACTCACAGTAACCTAACCACATGTTCCACAATCCTAGCGATAAGGGTCTAAAGCTTGGTTGTCATACCATCTCGCTCCCACACCACAGCCGCCAGGGGAAGGAAGAGATTCCAACAAGATGGTTAAGGATGAAGGATTGCATGCATAATGTTTGTTTCTGAGGGGTGGTGTCACGCAGGTACCCTTGATGATTGAAAGGCTATGAATACTTGATTATCTCGGATACAGTATGTTGTTAGGTCTCGTGCATGACTGCGGATCTATGACTCGATTGGTGTCTTAGATAGACTTGAGTGGCCAAGATGATAATTTTTTCATGGAGGAAAGATTATTTTGGAATGAGCCTCCCTCATGCATGCATGTAAGAAGCCTATAATAAGCCACGTGTGGTGCTTGCCCTTGCATTTCGGGATCAATTTTTGTTGCATGGCCACCACAAGCTTGAATCGTAAGATATTCCCCCTCCAATATCGAAACACGTGATGATGGTGACATCTGCCACTATCATCTGAAACCTAAAAGTAATGTCTTTAAGAAGTCTTTAACTGTGATTGATATAATGAAGAATATCTCCTCGAATGTTGACATTTACTCCACTTTGCAAGGGAATACCATCTATCGTTTCCCTCTTTCCCGCTCAGACAAGTGGTCACCTTGACCAACGTTTTATCAGCTGCTCTTTATGAACATTCTTTAGTTGTAACCTTTGTAGATTTACGGCTTCGAGATTTTCCTGTAAATTCTTGATTTCCTCCTCAAATGTATTAAATGACGATACAATATCTGGATCAAGTAGTTGAACCTCCCCGTATACCGAATCAGCTTGAAGGGCATTGTAAAGAAGTTTCATTGTGACATCGGCATTATGCACATGTGAAGATATGGTGGTTTCAGTTGTTAAATCCAAATTGGCCATGTGATTCTGAAGTTTCTCTGTCCTGTCTTGAAGAGATTTCTCCAGAAATTCAGTCCGCGCGTCATCAGTGTCGCTTTCGTTCGGAAGTGTGATGCCCAAATTGCGGAGTAATTGTTGTTCGGCGTCCATCTCTTCAAACATTGAAGAACGTCGGCGATTATTACGAGATTGTGCTTGTGCCTGAGAGTTTTGTCGCTGACGTGTAATGGATTTGCTAGACTGTGAAGCTACTTGATGTTGAAGCTCTTTCTTTCCGGTGTCTATTGCAAATTTAGTGGCCATCTGCTGACACTGGTATTCTTCGATATGTTCTGCATATATCTCTGTACGCTCGACAAGAAAACTAAGGCATTCTTGCATCTAATGGATTGGTTAGAGATCTATGTCTATTTGTCAATGTAAAGAAACCTACGTATTTCAAAGCTTGGTAAGCTCGATCTTGTCCCGAATCTCCTTTGGCAGCGATTTCCCGTAATGCTGGTTCCAGATATTGTTGTTCGGCAGACATTTGAGCCACAGGTAATACCTCGGAATATAATGATTCGAACTCTTCTTGTAATTCGGTGACTTCCTGCTTGTTTGCAGCTTGGGGATCTGCACCAGAAGTACCATTAAGAGCTTCGAGGTAAATCCGATCAAGCTTTGTCCTAACTCCATCGACAGTATGTTTAATATACCTCGCACAAAGATCCCGTATTCTTGAAATAGTATCATGATCTTCTGAAGATTCAGGATCAAGCTCTTCCGCAAGCTTTTGCAAACTTGTTAACAATCTATCATCCGCCTTGAAGATCTCGTCCACCGTTTGTTTGGCATCGGATTGTGATATTTTATTTTGTTGCTCCAAGTCCGAGAGCTGATACATCAGATTTTGAGACAATTCCTCCACCGCTGAGGAGACCTGACCATTTTCTGCTTCCCATTTCCGTAGCTGTTTTGCATCTGCTTCTGTTCGAGCTACTCCCACCTTCTTATTGTTCTTGACAATTAAAGCCAGGGCATTTTGTTGCGATCGTAGTGCTTCGCTTTGTTTTTCAATCGCGGTAGTAGATCGTTGTAATTCCTCAATAGCGGTATGAAGTTGTTCATCACTCAGATCGGATATACTCGATGGATTCTGTAAGTTTGCTACTTTATCTGCATCCCCTGATTGTGACAGTACCCCGTATCTATCTTATATTAGCATCATTCGCAGAATTTATGGGCTCCAAACTCACAGTGCGACTTCATCTTTAGTCAATAGTGTTTCTGGACCAAGATATTTTGAAATCCAAGCTTCAACCGCAGCCGGACTACGAGCATAATCGGATTTGATTGCATTACGATCAAAAGATATACCATAATCTTCTAGGATCTGTAAAAGAAGTTCAAGATTGCCGCCTCCCATAATGGTTGAAGTTCGTGGTATAACAGCCTTTCGAAAGTTTTAATGCACGTCTGAGGCTAGATTTAGCTATGGAATTTGGGAGGATAAAAAGATCTTATTGCAAATTTAGAAAGATGAAGATTTCGGGATCTTAGAAGACATTTCCCTATAAGTTCTGAAAGAGAAGTTATAGAACACGGGCTCGGGGCGTATTGTCAATTTTGTGCAGAATTGGTGATATTCGTTTGTTTACATTGCATCGCCAGTGAATGCTGGAGATTTATATTTACCCCACAAATTTGATGTCGGACAACAACTTACTTTCTGATTTGTCTGATTACAAAAACCTACATTCACCTAAGGATTCAATGTTTTGGAATCTTCTTACCTTTCTAGAATGAGGAGCCAAAAATATGTAAAGAATTGGAGAAATAATCGTATTTCTCACAATCTCTAAAAGATACCAGGTTAGCAGGCATGAAGATACATTTTCCTCCGATATAGGTCATGATTGTGGGAGATAAGCTTTGATTGAGCTCCCCGGGTTCCCACTCGGTTATGACAGTCGTGATGAAGACATATTATCTATCCTAGGAATTTTCGTTCTCATTTTCATGTTTGACTTTGGTTTCTTGTATACTTCCGGTGTGTAGGAAATGAGAAGAGTCAATTCCATTGACACCAGTTAAAGAGGCATCTGAAGGCATTCACAATGGTTCCGAAGATCCCAGGATTTATCTCGGATGGGGTCGAGGCTCTCAAATTGGTGAGTATTGATATCTCAAAGCTTGTTAGAACGCTCTTTGTTGACATAATATAGGTAGCTCAATTATCATGGAGACGCAATGTGAAAGCTTGGATTCAAGTCCCTTTTGGCATTGTCTTGATTCTCCTGGCATGCTTCGGTATCAATGCTCTTATAGGACTTAGTTCAGTCTCATTTCCTGCATCTGTGGCATGCTTGATTTTGCTATTTCTTATTTTGAATCTTATTGATTTGGTTATTGGTCACCAAAGAACGAGAGCTTTGGTATCAATTATTGATATTCCAGCTGGATGGGCTCTTCGATATATCAATCTTTTTTTCACGCCCTCGTGAGTCATCCACCATTTTTACAGAAACGAGACCAGATGTTAAAGGTTGATAGTTTCGTTCTATTGCCCTTGAGTGATAGTATCACTGCTACAGAAGTAGGTAAAATCATAGGAGTTTTCCGTGAGTACAACAACGCTATATTTAGCTTTCTATCACTGATTTTTTGGAGTCGTTGGGTTCTTGGTTATGTTCGCCATCACAGCCTGGTTGGTTCGCGGTCTGCAAGTTTTAGTAGGTTCGACCAAGCGTGCTATCACTGAAAGGGCCGAGGAAATGGGCGCCGAAAATGATGCTATTCCTCTCGCAGTATCGAGTAACACCAACTTCACATCGGCCGATACACTTAGTCCTATACAAGAACAAGAGCTAGCTGTGATTAGAGACACTAGAGATCCACGAGAGTCGCCGGAAACAGAAAGTCCACCACCAGAAACAATCGCTAGTACCATCCAGGTTCAACAAGAGCCATTACCACTCACACGAGCTCAAATCTGGGCGGCATTCATTAACAGGAACTTAGATTTACTCACATATAGCGGCGTCTTCCTCTTCGTAGGGATTCCAGTCTACTATGCTACCGGCTATGCAATGCCAGTACAACTTACTTTTAACGTACTAGCTTATTTTGCTGCACAATCCCTTCCAGTCCGTTGGAAGCAATTCTTACACCCTGTTTTACTATCATCCGGCATCACTATCCTTGGTATATGGATCTTGGGACTTGTTAAAGGCAACAATCTAGATGAAATTTTAGGAGCTTACAAAACCAATACCAAATACATCGCCTACTGGGATGGAGAAAGAAACCTCCCTCTACCCGGTGCTGGTGACATCTTGTGAGTACTCGCATTTCGCAATACTCCTCTGGTTCCCACGAAATCAGGAAATCTCAGCTAATCACCCTCATCACTATAGTAATAGCGTCCTTGATGCCTCCATCGTCTCCCTCGCTCTCCCCATGTTCCAATACCGCCACGAACTAAAATCACACTTCATTCCCATCACAATCCCCAGTGTTGTTCTCGCTGTCGCTTCACTATTCGGGTATCCCCCTCTCTGCTACTCTCTCGGCATATCCCCTCCAATCTCTCTCTCATTCTCCGTGCGTTCTCTAACTCTCGCCCTCGCTACCCCTGCCGCTACCAACCTGTAAGTTCACTAAATCCTTTCCCGACTGTCAAAATCACCCAATAACAAACTAACCTCCCCTCTCAAGTGGTGGTAACACCAACGCAGCTGCCGCTCTTGCCATCATGTCCGGTATCCTCGGTGTTCTCATCGGTCAACGTCTTCTTACTTTCCTCAAAATCCGCCCTGATGATTACATAACCATCGGAGTTGCCATGGGTGGAAATGCAAGCGCAATAGCTACTGCATTATTATTGGTTAGTGATCCGAGAGCTGCAGCGTTAAGTAGTTTGAGTATGAGTCTTTTTGGGATTGTGACTTTGGCGTTGACTTCTGTGCCGCCTGTGGTAGAGATTATTAGGGGTTGGTCGGGTTGTAGTAATTTTGGATAGAGATGAAGAGGAGAAACGTAGATGTTGGGATTATAGAGGTCAGAAAGTAAGATGACGTATGGTTTAGACTTGGGAGAATAAGGACTTTTGAATATTATTATTATACAAGGTACTGAGTATAAACAAATAAACTTAATATTATTTCCTCCGAATTCGCTCTTCCTCAATCTACTTTACTCTACATTTTCCTTGCGCGTCTGTCCTTCCTTTAAACAAAATCTTTTCAGTAACATTAGATGTATTTCATAAAAGCCTCAGATCCCAATCCCCAATCCCCAATCCCCAATCCCAAATCTCCAATCCCCAATTCACACATCACCTCTCCCCCTCATCTCATAATCAAACTTCTCACACCTCTCACACCTCTCACACCTCTCACACCTCTCATATATCCTACATCTCTCAGACAACCTCATATCAACTAAGCCTATCCAATCATCAACCTCACCCACCTTACCCACCGATCCTTCCAATTCTCCATCTTCCATTCCACATCTTGCAAATCTCGAGGACGTACCTAAAGTATATACCTAAAATACAGTACATCAACTTCTTCTCTAGCTCTCTAAATCTCCAGTGAATATACAATACAATACAATGCAATGTAATGCGATAAAATATAACGTTATATAATAGCAAGAAGTGCTTATTCATGTATTCATACTAATGAGAATCAAGACTACGAGTACTATTCTCGCTGTCGTGCCACGGAGGAAAAAGGGAGGGGGAGGGGAAGGTCAATTCAATGTTGTAAATAAGGAGGAGGGCTTAAAATATCATACTTAACCTCTGGACATCACAGAGAAATGATGGGTACAGGTATATGTGCAGTGCAGTACTTTTGTATCGGCTACTAATGTACGAGTAAATACAAATACAGTTCCATGCCATGTCGACTCATCCGATGTGTAAGATATTCTTATGAAAGGTCATTAACATATCTCAAGCTCACATACCGTAGTCATGTCGATATATCTCAAGATCACACAATCAAAGTAGGCGCGTTATGAAAGTGGACTCAAGGAGGAGTATTGGTATTTGATGTTATGGATCACTAGATACATGGTAGTGTTTGTCTTGAGTATGGATGTGTAGTTATGGAATTTGTATTTAGTATAGGTGGGTAGGTAGTAAGAGCATTAGCTTTAATGCGATTTTCTATAGTAGGAGATGGATTACTCCTGGAGTTTCATGGAAAAAGCTTCTGTATCAAATTGACTGCGGAATGCGAGACCATTTGAATCCAGACCTTCCTTCCTTCTATTCCCCGAATTCGTCACAACCAATTTATCTATACCCTCCTTTCTTCTCTTCTCCTATCACCCCTCTCACACCAACTCTCACACTCTACAGCTTCCCCTCAAGCACCATTCTTCCCCCCATAAACCCACACAACCCCATCAACCCCATCTGAAACAACCAGAACCAAATGCCCTTATACCTTCCCTTTCCACCCACGCCCCCCTGACTATACCCTCTCATATAAACCCACCTACTAACCGTCCACGCACCACCCAACACGGCCGCCGACCGCGGAAACTCCAATCCAGCAATCAACATCGCCGCAACCGCTACCGAGTGATTCTCGGTAAAATTCGCATGTGCGCGCTGCGCGCAGTTGAATTGGTGTGCTGCGGTGTCGGTGCGGGAAGAGGGCGCATAGGCAGCTGGATAGTCGATTTTGGCGGCTTTGCGGTAGGAACCGGTGTTGATGCCGTGCCAGAAGTTGAGGACGAAGGTGGAGGTTGCGGCGAGGATTACGTAGCTGGGAGGGGAGTGTTAGTGGGATGGAGAATTGAGGTGGGAGGTGGGAGGTGCAGGAAGGGGGAATTGTGTACATACCCGTAATCAGCATCGAGAGTGATGTTAACCATTTTTCTTGATTTATCCTGATCTTTTGAGATGTGTGTTGTTTCGTTTGGAATATGTATCGAATTGTAGAAATCGAGTTATAGATGTATAGATCCTCTTTTCAAGAATTGCAAATCGAACGAATTAATTAGAGAAACTGTACTTTCCTCTTCTTGCTTTCCTCAACGAGAACAGCAAGTCCCCTCACAATATAAACAAACCGAAGCTCAAAAAATCCACTCAAACTCCACATCCACCAGCGTATTAGAAATCAAAAGATCGCTCTAATTCCAAAGTCCTTCCATCTCCATCGAAACACAGACCTTCCGAGCTCCAAACTATGAATGTGGAGAAGGAAAATCATAGACCTCGGACATTCATCTCTTCCGCGCCCCGACTCATGGTGTCTTCCTTCCTCCGTGTCGTCGGTCGGACTTACCTTCGTGCCATGTATCTACACATATGGCTACATCCACATGTGTGGATATGAGTGCGAATATGTGTATGAGTATGGGAAATTCCCCCGTCCGTCGCTCCGTACAACGAGAATCTCA